CGCTGGTCCAGGGACGACACTTTGAGAATCCTGCCTTAGAGAGTGCTTCTCCTCATGGGACCTTCCGTTTTCTCTCTCTCCATCATTCCAGATAATAATACCATTTCTGAAAAAAATTGCAGATGTGCAGATCAATAAGCGCCTCAGCTTGATGTACAGTATTACAAGAGGCTATGTCAAAAGTCAGGAGGACACCAAATTTTTAATACAACAAATTTCTGACCGAGAATCCATATATCAGGTGAGAGACGGACACTGGTCCTTCGGGAGAGAAAAATCACTTCGGCAGGTTCGTTTCTTTCGAGACCTTTTCTACATGTATTTGGCCCGACAGATAAATTATAGCAGGGGAAGGGGTTCAGTTGTTTATTGTGTTACTCAAGGCGCTGCTGAGAATAGTCTCTGCTCCTTAAATTTCAGCTACTTAGGATCAAACTCATTTATGATCTTCAAAGAAGAAAATCTACTCTTTGTATTTTCTGACTACAGAGAAGAGATTCTGTCTGTCTGGGTAACACTCCCTAAGGGAGGACACTTGGGAAAAGCCTCAAGCAGGCATTGAGGCCGGAACAAGGCCTCCGAGAGAAAGTAGGTCAGAAGTGGTGAGGAAGAAAGACGGAGAGAGAACAAAGGTTTGGCAAGAAAACTGGAAATGCTGGCACTGGGGAGTGGACGGATGCGGGCATTTGTGTATTTACTTTTTATCTCCTGATTTCCAGGCAGAATGAGGTAAGTACCGAATGGGGAGCTGAGGACGTGAGCATGCTAGGAACTCGGAGATGGAGCGAGTCACCTGCTAGCCAGTCTGTCCACTCCAGGTGACGGTGATTCAGCAGAGGAATGTTCCTAAAAGGGCTGTTTTACATGTCATATATGATTTTTTTTTTGCTTAAGAGCATTCAGTGGCCTCTGCATGGCGTGGGTGGAAGGCTGTGACTCCAAATGTGTTTTTGTGTGTGTGTGTGTGTGTGTGTGTGTGTGGGGAGAGAGGGGAGAACACCAAAAAGATGGTAAAAAAATCATCATGCGTAATGGTACAACTTGAAAATAATGAAGTAAAAGTGCCCCCTGCCAGCCCTCCATCCACTCTGCCACTTCCCAGAGACACAGCCTCATCCTCATTCCCGTGCGGACTTCCTCTACTGCTTGCCGTAATTTTAATAATATGCATAGGTATTTAATTCTTGGCTTGTTATTTCTAGGCAGCCTTAACAGTACTCCCTGCCATGAAGCATAAGGAGATTGGGATGTTCCTCTCCTTGAACCTTTTCTTTTTCTCCCCGTCTTAAATTTTTAGAGCTATTATTTTCACAAGAAAAAGTTATAACGTGCCCATTTTATTCCGTAAGCGTAATTGAGTCTTCATTCTTTTCAACAGGTGACTCTCTGCATAGAAAACCAAAGATCAACCTTTACCGTGTATTGATTTTACAAATATTATTCACTGTAGAAGCAATCATTTGATTCAATCTGTAACAAAGGAAATATGATCCGATGTCATTAAACATTTACTTCTTGAATGAGACTCTTCTAAGTGAAACAGTCAAATGCGTTGATTTTTTTTTTTTAACTATCTTTCTTTAGGTTTTACTCCTGAGCCGCTCTTTCCGGAGACCCACGTGAGTCTCCTTCCTACTTTCCTTTCTATGACGCTGGATTATGCCAGATCAATTTTTTTCCACAGGACGTGTGGACTTACATGTCCAAAAATCTTTTAATTTCGCTCTCGTGATTGATGGTTTGATGCTCCAAAACCAGTTTCTTGAGCACACTGCCCCTCTGTCTCCAGCGTGGCTGATAGGTCTGATTTTATTTTTGCTTTTGTAGGTGACTTTTTTTCCCTCTCCATTGAGAGGCTTTTAGAATTTTCTCTTTATCCTTGGAGTTCTGAAATTTCACCAGGATGTGTCTAGCACACTGTGATTGAAATTTTCTTTTTACCCAGTGCAGCACTTGGTGGAGCCTTTATCACTGAAGCTCGCTGTCTTCCTTCCATCCTTCCTTTGATTATTCCCTCGCCTCTGTTGTTTCTATTTCCTCCTTTTGCGGCCATTTAAAACGGATTTCCGATTTTCTGGATTTAGTCCCTGTTTCAAGTTCTCCTCATAACTTTCAACTCTTTCTTCTTTGCAGTGAGAAGCCCTCAGCGCGGTTTTTACAAGTTACTGATGCGGTCTTCAGCTGCGCCCTTCTGCCATTCGGCCCATCTGTTAACGTTTCTTTTTTTCTTTTCGGATACTTTTTCGGTCTCCAGGAACCGTGATTGCCTCTTTTGCTTCTTCATAGCAACCGTTACCCCCCTCCCCCCGCCCTTGTTTTTCAAATGCGATATTCTCTTGAATCTCTTTATTTAAACGATTTGTGTTTCCTGTGTTAGTTACGCTTCCTTAAGGTTCATTCTTGTTTTGTGTTTGGTTCCTCCATTCTGTTTTTTTTTTCCCACTCAGTGTTTGGTGATTTGGGATTATATTTTCATATGTGCAGATGAGGGTCTAAATTGAACAGTATTAAGAGCTGAAGGGTATTTTCTCAGCCCAAGTGGGACTCATGATTTTTAATCCAACAGTGACTTTAACTCCTGGGACCACTGTAGGAAGGGTGCACCTGAATTTTAGGAAGGCATCTGACATTCTCATGCTAACTTTATAGATCCGCTAGAGAAACGTTATCTGGATTTATCAAAGGAGTATTGATTATTGGGTCGAATATTAATGTGCAACAGAATTTTATCCTGCTGATTGGCTTCGAATATTGGAGAAGAAAGTTAAAACAACTGCCGAAAGCCTAGATTGATCTTTGGTACAAACATCATAGAGCTATTCATAAGAGAAAAGATTTCAGAAACAGGAAGAGCAGAAACACAGGCGCTGGCGGGGGGGAGTCATGAAGGCGTTTTGCGGAGTTTGGAGCCAGGATGGCGGTTTGGGGGCAGTTGTCGCGAAGTGTAAGAGATGAAATGATTCCCCTTGGCGTTTCTATCGGAGAGCGGCAGGAGTCCGTTCCTACGCTGTCTTGTGCAAGGTCATTTCATAGCAGTTTTACAGAGTGTTCTCGGGGTCCGGTTTGGTATGAAGAGGGCTTAGCTGCTCTCACGGCACCTACGTAAGCTGGGTTGGGCCACGGCACGTGGCTGCTGTGGGCAGGCTAACAATTTGACACCTTCTCAATGTGGATTCGATGCTATCGCGTGAGAAGAAACAATTTAATCAAAACTGTGTTCACGATGAGAGATTTATTACACGTGATTATTCTCAACCAAAAACAATAACAAAAACTTTAACTGCTTAAACTTTAGACAACAATCCAGTTGTTCCGTGGCACAGTGCCGTGCATTTTCTGGTTGTGGAATTCCAGGCCCCTGTATCTGACCATCCTAGGGGACTGTCATTGTTCGGTCCAAGTGCAAGCTCCAGAAGACTCTAGGCTAGAGAGTAAGCCCCATGGAGAGCCTGAAATGGAGCTATTTCTTCAATTATATCAGGAGTTATCCTAGGAAACATAACTACCTGACACTGTATTTTCTCATCATTCCACTGTTTCTGTGCTCCCAACAGACTGGCCCCCAAAGAGGTGCTCAGTTGGGCCCCCACTACTGGGGCTCTATCTTTGGGACCCTCCTGGGTGCACGTGGACTGCACCCTCGCGTTCTCTGAGAAACCTTAGGCACAGTAGTTATGTGAGCGACTGACTGCACAAACTTTCCTCGTAGCGTTGAGAGTGAGCATGGGGAAAGCAGCGAGAAGAATCCAGCCAAGTATCTCCCCCGAATCATAGCCTCAGTGAAACTTCTGCTACTGTACTTGTTCCCCCTCCGATTTCAAAGCCAGAAATGCACTCGGTGAAATGACAAATTGTTTTTCTTAACTTTTTACAGAAATTATATGAAATTTTGGAAACCAACAAACGAGATGCTGTCAAAGAACTAGGTAGGTGGTTGAGTGTCTCATTTCCTGAAATCACACCGTGTGTGTGTGTGCGTGTGTGCGTGTGTGTGTGTGTGCGTGTGTGTGTGCGTGTGTGTGTGTGTTTTACGTGCTGTTGAGTTGGCTCCGACTCCCGGTGACCCTGCGAATGAGTGCTGTCCCCAACGTCCCGTCCTCGCCGGCCCTGCTCGGCTCCCGTGGACTCCAGCCTACAGCTTCTGATACGGAGTCGCTCCCTCCCATCTTCGGCCTTCCTCTTGTCCTGCAGCCGCCTTCTCTCTCCCCAGCATTATTGCCTTTGCCAGAGAACCTGCCTTCTCAGGCTGTGCCGAGGCGAGCACGGCCCCAGGTCTGTCGTTTTCGCCTCCAGCGATGTTGCAGGCTTATTTGCTCTAGGACCCACCGTTCCATAGTTTAACCAAAGGAAGACAAGTCCGTGCTTCCATTCAATTACTCATCCATCCGTCCGCTCATCCAACAAGCATTTATCGAACACCTGTTATGGGACAGGTGGGCAAAAGGTGTGGAGCCTGGCGGCGGGTATGAGAGGATCGGTAGATAACTGCAGAAAGTGAGAAGTCCTACGAGATGCTACGGGATCACAGGGGGAAGGATGAGGAGTGTGCGGAGTGTATTAAGGTGGCAGGACCGGATTCCTTAGGGTCGTGAGAAAGAGACATGCGAAGATCACCTTTATGAAAAGGTGTTTTTTTTCTTTTTCCTTTTACTTTGTTTGCAAGGATACTTAGGAGTGTGAAGCTGCAAAGGTCTGTCGTTTCTTGAGCATCCGAGGTCACTCTGCTTGAGCCGGAGCACACAGCAGGGGCCCTAGGGTTTTCTACAAAGCTTCTTGGATCTGTTTCCCTAACACGGGGTCCGTGGCCAGGCTTTCGGTGTGTGAAAAGTGGGCGGTAGAGAGCCCAGCAATGCTTGGGCTCTTAATCAGAGAAATAAAGTAAAACCACTTTGCATTCATAGCCCTGTTATAAGATGCCCTGTGGATTTAGGAGGAGAATACTTTTCCAAATCAAAGTACAAAGAACACGGTCTAATGCATGAAATTCGAGCTTTGGAGACAATAGGCCAGAGTAATTTGGCACCGTCTTAGGAAATCCAGGGCCCATGGCGGCCATTTGCTTATGGGCAGATTTTTATTTCCATGCTTTTAAAGATTAGGTGCCTATGAGCTGCTGTCCTGCCTTATGCTGGGCTAGTACAGAACACTGCGGAGTTTTCCTGGTTCCGTCCTGTAAAAGGGAGGGCCTGTCCCATGTGGTCCCTGCAGCTGGTGACTGAACCCTGGTTGCCAGCGTTAACAGCTTTATATGCATCATGTCATTTAATGCCGATTACCACGCTGTGAGGCAGGTACTGTTATCATCATCATTTATAGATGAAGAAACTGAGGGTTAGGAACGTTAACTTGCCTGAGGTCACGTGGCCGGTACGTGGTGGGCGAGACAGCCAGCCCAGGGGTACCTGACACCAACACCAGCTCACTCGATCACGGTTCCCTTTTTGCCTCCGGCGAACATGTGGAATTGACCGGTCAGCCCATTTCAGTTCAATAAACGGTCGAGTCCCTTCCAGATGTTTAGGGTCACAACAATGAAACGGGTCTGGGTTTAGCCTTGACTCCCAGTCCCATCTGTGACCTCTCATGTTCACGAAAGAGGAAAAAATGTGGGATTTGATCTCAGAAAGACCCAGCAGCCAAAGTCCAGGGGCAACAAAAATGGCGTGATGTGGAGGACGAGACAAGTAAAAATAGTCGTAGTGCCTGTCACCTGCCATGATGGAGGCGGGAGGGATACCGTGGGAATACGGCAGACGGGGCGATTTTCTCCCGGCTGGCAAGGGGAGCCAGATTTCAGTTTTCTCACCCATAAAATGGAGACAAAAATAACTGGTCCTTGCGGCCCCACAAGTTCTGTATGAACCAGGAATGAAAGGCTATCGCGTAAATGCTCTGGCGATGACAGACTGTCGTACCGAGATGCGTTTCCACTGTGCTTATCACGCTGTTGGCTGACGGGCGGTTTTCTTCGTCCAGGACTCATAGAGCATGAGGGCCGCGATGTCGTCATCGCTTTGAAGACCAGGCAGGCGATCCGGACCGTGATCGCCAAGGCTCTGAAGAACCTCACCTTCCTTTGGTCGAGGGGCATTATTGATAAGCACGAAGGCATGGAGATGAATAAGGTAACACAGCAGCTTCCTCTACAGCTTTCGCGGAGTGCAGCGAGCGGAGGAGGCTGGAAAACGGGTGACTAACCTCAGTGTCACCTCTAAGTTGCCCGCAGCCTTGGTTAATGCCGGTGGCCATCAGCACCTGTGCTACTGGTGCACTCCATGTCCAAACTCTGTACCTGGTTGCAAGTGACAGAAACTAACCTGGGCTAGATTTAACAAAGAAATGGCATTGGAGGGTTTGTTATGTGGACCTTACAGAACCCACGGTAGCCAGACCATGTGACCAGGCTTCAGGAAGGGACTCAAACAGGATCCCAGAAAGTGTTCCAGATTCTTCTGTTCCTATCAGGGTGGCCTTTTGGCTTTCTCTACAAACTCGCTAGATTCTTCTGCTTCTCTGTCAACTGGAGGACGATGCTTCCCAGTTCTCACAGCCGTGGCGAGGCGGGCGGGAGGCCTGTGATGTTAGTGTGTAGGGAGGGGACCAGCCTGTGTGCGCATATGTGTGTGTGTGTCCCTGTGTCTCTGTTGTGTGTGTCTGTGTGTATATGTGTGTGTCTATGTGTGTGTGTTGGTGGGGGTCAGGGAGGGGGCCGCTCTGAGAAGGGAGGAGCAGAGAAGACACCCCAACCAGTTAGCTGATAAATGGACTTTTGAATGATTATAAATGTATTTGCCAAAAAAATTAGGAACGTAAGCCGGAGGGGAAAAATGTTTAATGTTTAATCCTTCCACTCTATCACTTTTACCATCTAGACTGTATTTGTGCAAATAAGAATGTTCTTCCTCCTACACAAGGGTCTGTCTGCTTCAGCTAATGGAAGTTCTGGTCCTACGTTCCGTCCGCGACGCTCGCTGATAAGCTGCTCCTGGGCATCACATGTTTGTCCTTGCTGTTGGCTGCGCCCAGCCACAGGCCACCATGCTCTGGGCTTCTGGCCATTTCCCGGACAGTCTCACCTCCATGGCCCAGAAGGGGAGGGAGCGTGGGACAGGCCAGCTTTCCCCTCAGTGGCTCCGTCTCCTGAGTCTCTATAACATCACGGTGAAGGAGGCAGTGGGGAGCATGATTTCTGCCCGTGGGCGAGAGGGAAGAGAAGGGCTGCTTTGGAATATTCTTCAAGTTACAACTCTAAGCGTTGTGTTTCGTGTTTCTGTATTTTTTCATTTATCATTTTGAAGGCTACATAAGATTCAGCTGAATGCTCGATATCCACATAGCCTTTATGAGGAGACAGACTTATTTTTCTCCTAGGTTTGTTTAGAAAGGTGATGGGTAAACAATCATTCAGCAGTTACTAATTGCATGCATATCAGTCATCAGTCAAAGAAATATAATTATCAACCCCAGGTCATAAGGAGCTAAGTAAGTCTATTCAATTTAATTACATAAATACATGTTGGATTCTTACTATGTGTTATGGACTCTTGAGGAGATTGGGATAATTAATGAATATAACACTGACCCCAAAGTCCACAGGCTCTTCATCCTCATTCTTTTATTTAGTTATTTATTCATCCAGTCAACAAATGTTACCTAACATGGAGGGTGAGACACATAAGTAAAAATAATACTGCAATGCCATGAGTTCCACAAGACAAACCTGTCGGAGATGGCACGGGAAAAAGGCAGGCAAGTGATTATCTGGTGGGGGAAGCCAGGGAAGGCTTCTCAGACGCCACAAAACTAGAACTGTATCCCTGAAGTTAAAAAGGCTTAGAGAAGCAAATCAAAATACATGTGAAGAAAATTTGAAAGAGTATGGCATTAAATCATATAGTAATCAACTGTGAAGTTTAGAAAATTTGAGATTAAGACAGGGCAGAATGTAAGTGTTAACAGGATTACAAAGCTGATAAATTGAACATGAGATAGTATATCAGTGAAAATAGTAATAAGGGGAGAACAGGGGCCACAAAAGGTTAGAGGATAATTTAAATCGGGTGAGAGAAGCTCTGAGTCAATAATCAAGGTTAAATTTGCATAACAATAGTTTATTTAGATTTCCTTACTTTTTACCTAATGTTCCTTTCCTGTTACAGGATCTGCTCACCCTTATGTTGATTGTTTGTTGTTTTTTTTTTAGGTGCTGCTTTCGAAAATAAAAGCACTGAATAACTTTCCAATGGCAATCCCGCCCCCTACTCCCGACAAATATCTTCATAATATTGTTTGGCTGGAAAATAAAGATGTTCTCATTGAGTTCTTCAAGGTAAAGTTTCTGTCCTATTTTCTGACCTCAGATTTGACGATACTTATTTTTCATTGTTTCTACTCCCCGATGCAAGATATTCTCATTGCTCCTGGGTCTTCACATATATCGAACCCTCTGCCCTGAGGGGTCTTCGGCTCATCATTCTTTGGCTTAGCTGTTCTTTCTTCTGTAAAGTCTTCCCTGGACACCCAAGACACTGTCGTGTGGCCTTTCTGGATTTTTCCAGAACGTCCTGTCCCTCCCTGTCTCATATGTCATTATCACATAGGACTTACCACCGTGTATTACAAATAGCTACCCAACCTCGCATTTATTGGGTGTTTCTATCAGTCACTGTACCGGGAGCCAGTCACGAAGTCTATAGTTTGCTTGCTTGTTCCTTTCTTCCTAAAGGTGAATAAGGTTATGTTAGCACGTTACAATTCCTTAACAAACCAGAGAATGTAGTTTGTGTTTTAAAGCTACCTACTCGAAGGCCATTTTCACTTTAAAATCTTGTTTTGATTTAGAAAAGTAGACTATGATGCTTTTATGTTGACTCTTTCTTTTCTTTTTCAGGAAAAAGCTCAGCTTGCCTATTTCGACTATGGAGATGTCATTTGTACAGAAGGTGAAACGCCACAAGGAATCTACTTAATTATTTCAGGAATGGCAATCGTAAGGGACTATGTATTCTTTACTGAAAATGTGTTTCGCAATATGTAATTATAACATTAGGAGAAATTTAGGAAACAAGAAAGTTTCCAATTTTTAACATATTCTCTTTTCCAAATGAAACCATTTCTGCCCAGAGCGAACACTGCCACTGAGAGCCAGTGATAACACCGAACATCTAGAAGGTTCTTCCCCTTTTACGAAGTGCTTTCCTAGTCGTCACTTACTCCTCACAGCAGTCCTGGGAGGAAGGAGTCTTTTCCATGGTGTTCGATTAAGGAACCCAGTATTAGGAGTGGTCCAGTTACTCGCCTCAAAAAAATAAAACGAGAGTCGCGAACGAGGAACTGGGCCGCAATGTCGCATCCTCTCAGAGGCCGAACAGGATGAGGATCAAAAACATGACTTTTAATTTGACTGATAGGAGGCTTTTGGTGACCAGAGAAAGAGAGAAAGATGTCAGCGGAGTGATGGGGACAGGAATCCATCAGAATCCAAATGCTAGTAGCTGAATTATTACAGGGGTGAGCCCCAGCTCTGATCCAAATATTCTTAGATCCTAGATGACGGTTACAAGTGACAAACCCTTACAGTAACACAAATAGTGTATCTGGCTTGCTCCTTTTTTGGAATGGGTGTTTCAGACCTTAAAAATATCAAAACTGATTATGGAAATAAACTATTATAATAAACATATAAAGCTGACTAACACAAGTATAGCCCTTAATAAGTGTCTGCTATTTTTCATTCATTCAGTCATTCATTCACTCATTCATTCAACAAATATTTACTTTATTACTGCCACGCAGCAGACAATAGTTCAATCTAGACACAGAATTGATAAAACACACAAATCCCTGCCTTCTTAGACTTTACTTTCTAGTAGAGGCACAGAAAGCGATGGGACAATGAACAAAATAAATACGTTAAATAGATAGTATCTTAGAGGTGATGGAGAGCGGGAGAGGTGGACTGTGATTCGTAAAAGGGTGGTCGAGAATGGCAGCACGTTATGACATTTAATCCTTGTAACAACTGATGCACAGAGAAATCAATTCACTTGTCCCGAAGGGCACGTAATAAGAGGTCAAGGAGGGCTGTGAACCCATGGAGTCTGCCTCCAGGGTCCGTGTTCTTAGCAGCTCCTTAGAATCCACGTGCTGAGCCATTGTGCTATGTTCCCATTAGAATCATAACAGAAATATACCGCTACCAATGTTTATGAAATATGTCAAATCAGACTCTTAAAATCCTGCAGTGGCTGGTCTAGAGAGGGCTTCTTAAACTATAAGTCCGGTGGCCTTTCCGCCGAAGATGTTCTGTTAGCACCACATCAAATGTTCCGTCCGTGCCACAACGAATCGTCACCGATTTAGCAGCTTAGATTTCTTATGTCGCAGCTCTGTCGTCAGGATGTCCTATGGGCTAAGCTAGTTTCTCCGTTTGAGTCTCATAAGGCCAAAATCAAAAGGAGACTCTGGGGCCAGAATCCATTTCCAGGCTTGCTGAAGCTGCGGCTAACATCCTTCCAGCCGCAGGACAGATGTCTCTGCTTCTCTGCGGGGCCTGCGTTTAGCTCCTAGAGCTCTTTGGTCCTTGCAGGCAGGCACTCACGTCCCAGAGCGAAGGCACGTTCAGTCCTTCCCACAATGTCGCCTCTCTCCGACTGACACCACTTCCTTTTCTGCTATGGAGGGCTCGCGTGATTACACTGGGCCCACCAGGAAAGACAATCCAGAATCATCTCTTTAAGATCAGCTGATTACCAACCCTAATTCCATCAGCGAAGCCCCTTCGCAGCAGTACCTCGATTAGTGTGTGACGGAATAACAGAGAGATGGGAATCTTGGGAGGATTTCTCTAGAACTGCCTGTCGCAAGGTGCTGTCTTCTCCCTCGATTTATAAAGAGCAGAGGCATTTTTCTTCGCTCAAAGGGCCTTTGAACTTCATTCAAAATCAAATTTAAAAAAATGTCTAAGTACTCTGGCAGCATGAACGCCCTCGAAAGTCTGGACACCGGGCCCAGGGGAGAGAGCAGCTTTCATAGTCACTTCTTCCGCAACCCCATGTTTCCAAAAAAAAGCAGTGAACAACTGCTTTCCTCTTTGATGTTTACCGCTGAGCTTTCTGGACAATTCCGTGATCCTTCTGGTTGATTCCTGTGGCGTCCTCCTGAAGTCTGATGCCTTTCTTCTCCCCCTACCCATGCCTACCAGCTCTGTTCATGAAGGAGCTCAGCCATCATGTGTTAACCCTAAAACTCTTCCTCTGACTGTCTCATGGGAACTATTCTGAAGCATCTTAAAGGGAGACGAGGCTTTTACGGAACTCGTGGCTTGGTTTGGTGGCGTGTTCATTCATGACGTCTGATTTCTGCATCCATGCAATCGAGAGGTCTTTTTATTTTTATTTTTATTTTTATTTTCCACCCGAGGTGCTAGTCCACTATGATAAAAATACCTACTAGACTCAAGAGGGAGATTGTATTAGTTGCAGGTTGCAATTACTACTTTCGGTGGGATTTTTTTTATATCAGAAATGTTCAAGCAGAAAGTGGTAGATGGGGGCGTTTCTAAAGCGTAAGCTTGGAAACATTCTTTGCCTTGGGGAGTTGAAACGTGAAAGTAACCGTGATTGTGAGGAAGCCTGACTCACACCTGGAAAGTAACCTGCTTGTGAGGAAGCCTGACTCACACCTGAAAGTTACTCACGAAGACCCTCCCCTTCCGCTGTGCTAACAGGGTCGGGTCGAGGGGTTTTAATCGTGGATTTCCCTTGGCCCTTTGCAGCTGCACAGTTCACCTCCTACCTTTGGAATAGACAGCAGCCTCCGGCCTGACAGAGAGTCCAAAACCACGTTCACGGAGTACTGCACTTGCGGGGACATAATCGGAGAGCTGAGCTGTCTGCTTAAGCGTGAATTTGAGTATACCGCCATCTGCGAAACCATCTTGCAGGTCAGAAACGGGTGCGTCCAGCTGGTGGGCTATTAGTTAACTCTTCCTCACGTTGGTAGGGAAGGCAGCATGTTTTCTTCCTTTGAGAGCTGATGTCTTATTTAGTCACCCAACCGGCCGCCGTGAAGCAAGCAGGTAGACAAGCTGACAGAAGGCAGACTCAGTGTGTCCCATCTCGGCTGTGGGGTCTGGAGCGAGAGTAACCTCTTTGAGTCTTTGTGTCTGCGCTGATTAAAAGAGAGACTATCTAACTTTTGATGTTGCGGAGATTGGGAAAATAGCTGTGTAAGGTGCCTGGCTCTATACACGGCCACCATTACGAGAGCAGTTTTTAAAAGAACTCTCGTGTTTTTAAACTCCCTTTCTTGCTCTTTTTCACTTGCTCAGTAAGAATAGGCGGCCTGATGTTCCACGAGCTGCAGGGGACTCAAACAGAAATGCGCCAAAGTTCCCGCTCACAAAGAATTCTCCCGCTTCGGGGGCTTTTAGATGCAGCAGAGCAGGGACAGAGAGCTAGGGCTGTGCGGGCCGAGGGAACGTCGATTCGTCAGGCTCATAGCATCGCGTTTCTGGAAGAAGATAGAAGGCTTGGATTTATTTAGTCGGAAGGCTGAATTTAATTCACTTAAGGTCATTTAGTTTGAATTCTGAAAGCATAGTCTTCCTTATTCAGGTAAGCAGTTTGAGAACAAATACTATGCATGAGGCCACTTTACCTACTGTGGCAATACAAATAGAGACGTTCATAGGGCTTAGTTTCTGAATCCTGGGCTCATGAGCCATGTCCTTTATCAGAGCTATTGACTGATATAGATTTTCCTGGCCTATTAGTAAGCCTGTAGCTTTAATTAGACTGTAAATAGTATTATCTCACACACAGTGGACAGCTTTTCCAATAATACATTGCTTTTAAATGGCACAGTATCATAATTATACGGAGCTTTATAGTCAGTTTTTCTAAGACGTTTGATGAAGATTAAATCTGCAGGCGTCTTGTTTTCGGAGGGTCTTGTAGTCTAGTTCCGAATCAGCTCCCTGCGTGACTCTTTGCGATTTCAGGCCTGCTTCATCTCCCTGGAGGATCTGTATGAAGGCTTTGACGTCTTCTGGCCATCCCTGGAATATAAGATATGGCTAAAGCTTGCTCTCGCTACTGCCCACCAGTATTTTGAATCCGCTCTCATCGATGAGGTAAGTTACATGATTAATATAGAAGCGAAATTTTGTTTACTGTGCTTTTTTACAAAGTGCAGTTCATATTTTTGTGACAAAGACAGAAAGGAGGCTTGTGTCTGATCTTCGAAAATGAGATTCTAGAATTTTAACCACCGCCTTCTCCTGACTTCCTGCAGGCTGTCAGTCCTCTCGTCACAGCTAATTTTCCCAGGCTACCCACAGTCATCCCTTAACAAAAAAATAGATTCAGAAAATATTAAATAGGTATATCCTTAAGAACCAAGCGTAGCAGTAATCAGAATGAGTTAATGAACACTCAGCTGGTGTTCATTATATTCTACTCTATCTACCCACATTAATATGAATCTGCTGCCTTTTCAAAATCTTTACTGAGTTAACTGAGCCTCTTCTAGGAACTTCCTCTCCAAAACGTAGTGGTTCAAGTCTGTTCTTGGACTGGCATAATTTTCAGTGTCATATTTATATCCTATTTACTAATCACTTGAGCCCTTATTCTGAGTCAGGAATTAGGGGAAGTGACAGACCTGAAGTTCAGCAATATTCACTGAATTAAGAAAATGGATGTGAATATTGGATTTAAAAATTAGCACATCTCAAAGAGAATAAGAAGACAAACTGCAGACTGGGAGAAAATGTTTGCAGAAGACACATCTGAGAGAGGACTGTTATCTAAAATATTCAGAGAAGTCTTAAAACTGAACAATAAGGAAACAAACAACCCCATTTAAAAATGGGCCAAATATCTTAACCGACATTTCACCAAATAGGCATATGAAAAGTTGGTCCACATTATATATCATCAAGGAAAGGCAAATGAAAACATCAACGAGACACCACGGCACACCTATTAAATTGGTGTCCAGAACACCGGCGACATCGCCAAATGCTGACACGGAGACTCTCAGTCACTGCTGATGGGAATGCCAAATGGTGCCACCACTTTGGGAGGCAGTTTGGCAATTTTTACAAAACCAAACATATTCTTACTATTCAATCCAGCAGTGAATACGCTCCTTGGTATTCACCCAGAAGAGCTGAAAACTTATGTCCACGCAAAAACCTGTACATGGCTGCTTGCAGCAGCTTTACATGCAGTTGCCAGCACGTGGAAGCAAACACGATGCCCTTGAGTAGGCGAGTGGGTAGACGAGCGGTGGCCCATCCAGACAGTGGAATGTTACTCAGCGCCAAAGAGAAATGAGCTGTCAAGCCGTGAAAAGACATGAGGAAACTTAAACACCTATCACCAAGTGAAAGAAGCCGATCTGAAATGGCTACGTAATACTGCGTGATTCCAGCTGTAGGACATTCTGGAAAAGGCGAAACTGTGGAGACAGTAAATGGAGGAGTTACTTTTTGCTAGGAGTTGGGGTGAGGAAGGAACGAATGGGTGGAGAACAGAGGATTTTTAGGGCTGCGAAAACACTTTGTATGACATTACAATGGTGGACATATGCCGTTACACTCTTGTCCAAACCCATAGGATGTACACCACCGGGGGTGGACCCTCATGGGAACTGTGGACTCTGGGTGATTTGGACGAGTCAGTGCAGGTTCATTGTGACAAATGTGCCCTCTGACAGGGTGTGCGAATAATGGGGAGGCCGTGCTTGTGTGGGGACAGGAGATATATGGGACATCTCTGTACCTTCCTCTCAATTTTGCTGTGAACCTAACTGCTCTAAAAAATTTAAGTTAAAAAAAAAATTGGCATGTCATAGTAAGGCAGTTATATTTCTTTTACTATGTGGCAATAATCTTTTTCAGGAAAAATTTAGCAGGAGGCCAAGGAGAATCAGTGTCTTCTCTCTCCCTTCCTCCTTGCCTGTTCGTGAGAATTATGGCAAGTTTAGAGTCTAGTGATGTGAGTCTTAGGAATAGTAGGTCACAACCATGCTGTGTGCCGTGAGACTGGACTCTAGTAAGGTGACTATCCTTTTATTGTTTTTCTAAATTCACAAACAACTCATGTTCATTGTACAAATTAGAAAATACAAGTACGTAAGAAAATAATAACTTCCTACCCCAACTTTACTCCCCAGAGAATCTCGATTTAACGTTGGTTCGTTTCTTTCTAATCTTTTTTCATTAAAGAACTAGCCAGTTAAGACACTTCAGATACCCCGCACGCTAATAAAATTGTGCCTTGATCCCTTCTCTAAACCACAGAACTCACAATTCACATGCATTTAAAAACCAAAACTGCTTCTTCGTTAGATCTTCTGGTTGCAAAATTCTGGACGTTGGTTAATTTTCTTCTGTTTTTGGTGCCTCCGCTGGGCCGGGGTGCCCTCGAGGCTTTCGGTGCCCTCGGTGAATAAGTGTTCGATTCGCCTGTCAGCACCAAGGTCAGAGGCCCGGGTCACGTGATCGTGCACTTCCTGTGGCGGGAGCCATCAGGGCGCGCTGAGCGGAGGGCGTCTGGGTGCTGGGCGGGGTGGACGCTAAGCTCCCGCATTAGTTTGCGCATTAGTTTGCGGCGGCTGCCATAACAAAGCACTACAAACTGAGCGGCTCAAACAGCGCGAGTTTGCCGTCGGGGTTCTTGAGGCTGGAAATCGGCAGTGAACGCGCCGGCAGCAGGGTCGGTTCCCGCAGGGGGTGCGGGGGAGCCTGGCGGGGCCTCCTCCTCGGCCTGCCAGGGCTGTCTTCACCCTCCCACGAGTTTCCTCTATGCGCGTCTGCATCTCCATTTCCCTAGTTTACAAGGTCATCGGTCATACTGAATGAGGTGCCCGCCTCACGCCAGTGTGACCGCGTCTTAAACGATTAGATCTACAACAATCCTGTTTTCAAATAAGGCCACGTTCTGAGGTTGTGGGGGACACAATTCACCCCTTAACAGCTCCCTTTCAGCATTAAGGTCTATGATTCTGAACCTTGAAGGACGCCCCATGCTCAGCGCCCTGCTGGGCTTTCGTTTTGCCATTTCTTTTTGGTTTTGTTTGTTACCTCAGCTGGGGGGACAGCTGCTTAGTGTGCGTCTTTAAGACTCTGGTTCTTGTGCAAGTAGAAATCCGGGAGGCCTCGCTGACGCCCTGCGGTGGCTGATGGAGCCTCACAGATCAGCGGGCCGGGCAGGCACAGCCAAGGCCCTCGGCACACACAGCACAGCTCTGAGTTCAGGATCTTGTCAGAGGCGGATTCGAACTCTCGGTACATTCTGTGCGTGGGTCCCAGAGCCCATGTGCCTTTTGACATCCTCGAAGAACTCAGCTCAACCAGGGAATTTGCTTTCCTCATGATATCGTATGTCATTTTCTATGGTTTATAGGAAAAAAAAATGTGATTTTATTGTAGGACTTAACGTTTCAGAAGTGTGTGACACTCAATCTTGCATATGTGGAGACTTTATCAAGCTATAATGAAATGACGATCGATAATACAGTCATGAAATTCGTTATTGTCGTGTACGGCAGTGTCATTGATATGGAGACAGAGGAGCCGTATCTTGCACCTTGCATATTACCTAACACCTGTGAGCAGGTAAGGAGGCACGTTTCTAAAGAGTCGTTTGCGTTTCCTGGCCCCCCCATAAGTGACTTTAAAACTCTACTGACCACCTTATAAAGCAATTTAACCTGCAAAGACCCTGCCTGCTGGTCTCACCTGCCCTGAACTAAATGGTCTTAAGGTACCAGGGCTTCTGTATACTGTGTCATGCAGGTTGTGCACGGGCAGGTAAGGGCCGGGATGGGCCTGCTGTCTGCCCGCCAAGCCGTTGGCCCCGGCGTGGGGCTGCGCCTCTCCACAGCTGGCGGGGTGCATTGTTCCTAGCTCACAGCAAGGCGGCTCTGGAGGTATCTGCACTGGCTGATAACAGGGGAGCAGACTTGGTGCCACGTCGCTTCGTGGCCGCCCTGGGGGCCGTGGGCACAGCTCGATAGTGGGCCGCAGGCCTCATCATTCCATGCCTCTGTAAGGAGAGAGGTATGAACACCTGGGGTAACGGGGGAAGGGAAGAGCAGAAGCAGGGTTCCCTAATGGGTCACCTGCCACTGGACCATAGGGGTCAGGAGGATGGAATCTGGGAGCGAGAGAGAGGGGGGGAACCAAGAGGCTGTGAGAAGAGCTGACATCTCTTTAATCTGGTAATACGTTTCTCCCCTTTGGGAGAGACCCTTTCCGCCTGTTCAGGCTGGGAAAAGTCATTCATTTAATGAAAATTTATGTCCCGGAGAACTTGATAAACCTACTAAAAAAGCACAGTTGCTCCTTTTATAACATTCTTATTTGGCACCCCTCAACAATTCAGAGGATGAAGGAAATTTAAAAAAGAAAAAATTTATTTTTTTTTAAATAGAAAACGAAAATCTCTTTAGCTTTGGAAGAAGGGGTGGGGTGAGGCCGGGGACGGCAGGAGCAGTTCCCAGTTTAGTTTGCTGAGACAGCAGGGTCTGGAGTCAGGCCGCCTTGGATTTCAGACTTGACCCCTGTGCCCGGGAGGGGTGCGGGTGCGGGCACAGGCGGGGTGCCTGCCGACCCTCGGTTTCCTCACCAGTAAGATGAGGATAACGGCAGCCGTCACCTCGTGACACTCTAGTGAGGATGAAAGGAGAGGACATGGTACCTGGACGGGATGGCTGTGGTCGCTACCGGCATGCGATCTGCATCCCGGGAGGGCGGATTTTGTGAAAACGCTTAGAAGCCGTGCGGGAAGGCCGGGCCCTGGGCCCTCGAACGTCAGTGTTGGAGTAAAAGTAATTCAGTGGGGACTCTGTTTCTGAGCTGGGAATTTCCAGCCCATTTATACCAGTAAAGCCTGGAACATTCCTTTCCGGTGCCTATTAACATGCGAAAGAGGCAATTTGCTGGTCGGGGACTTTTGAAGCAACAGGTGAAAAGGATTTGAAAGGAAAGAGATGGGGTTTAGGTCGGATGCGCATCTCTAGGTTCCGGCTGATTTCTTACGTTCCTTTGGAAAGGTTGGGGAGCAGCCAGCTGGGAGATCAAAGAATGCGCTTTTCTTTTTTCTTAATTCTGTTATTCGTTTCCAGTGTGCCTCGGTGAGACATTTATGTGGTTTGTAGAACGATCCCCTGCTGGCTCTTTCTCTCGCCTGACTCTCCACCCGGCCGCCACATTGCTGCTCGCTGCGTTCCCCGTGCCCAACTCTCTGACTCGTTGGGGTTTTCTCCTCCAGGTTCAGGGAACTTCGGATTTAAGCAAGCTGCTGGTTATCCAAGAGTCTAAGTCTGCCAACAGTAACTAACTCCAAGGTCGCAGGTAAGGGGATGTCCTCGAGTGGTGGGGAAACCCCTGACAAGGAATTCCGATCCATGTAAAATTCATTTGACTCTTAAGAAAATGATTTAGGGGTATCGGATGGGTTTATCACCAGTCCCCGCTCTCGGACCCACCCGGAGCCACATTGCTTTTGGGACGTCACATAGGAGAGGCTTCCAGACACTGACGCCCAGCAGCTTCCTCCTCTTGTACGTCCCTCCCTGCACACCCTTGCTGTGGTGAGGGGAGCAGCTTCTATGCCTGCCCTGGTAGGCCGGAGCCACATAGCACTTTGGGGTCAGATCGGGAATGGGGAGGGAACAGACCCAGGTATGGGGAGCTAGTTTGCTCCCAGCAACCAAATGGGATACAGAACTTGACCCATGCTCACCGAATATATTCCAAACCACGGTCACTGCCATGGCTCAGATGACTTGAGGTGCGCGTCGATGGTCACTATAGTAATTATAGTCACAGAGTGTGTATATGCACCCCACTGTATGCACCCCAATATACAAAGCAGTATACAAAGACGGCTAGCTAGGAAGGCCTTGCTCCAGAGAAAATGCAGTCAAGATCTTTCATTCAGTGCTCAGCATCCCTGCATTATGGTGCCCAGTGCCACCATTTTCCCAGCTGCCCCAGCTTGAAAACAGAGTCCTCCTTGATTTGCCCTTCTAATTAGCATCATCCCAGTGTTTACAATTCACGTGACCGGCTGGCTTAGACATTATGCAATCCTTCATGAATTATTAATTTGGGGGTAGGGGAAGGTGCAGTGTACATGATTTCAAATTGTGTGCATAAAGTGACATCTTATTAATAGTTTACATCTCATTTTTTTTTTTGCATGATGCTTATACAGTGCATCCCCGTTGTGTGCCGGGCACTGGGCCGAGCAGGAGTTGCTAAGGGAGCCAAACGAGGCCTCTGCCCTGGTGGGGAGGAGAGACAGACAGACATTCACCACATAATTCCGCTTCTCCCCTAGAAGCAAGTTCCAACTCACACATTCTGTGGCTCACTTCTCTGCTTTTGGGGGCTCCCTCTGCTCCTGGGTCTGCTGTCCCAGGCGCCTGACACCGAGGCTCCAGACCTGCGACTCTTTCGGCCTGTCACTCTGCTGCTCCCCCAGTGGGTGTGGGCCACAGGGGTGTGTGGCTGCCTCGGGACACCCTGAGGGCTGTCGAGTCAGAGAAATAGGGCGCAGGTCCCTCCCATTGCTGGGCCCGTAGGCCGCTCTCCTTCCGCGAATGATCCCAGAGAGGCCGAGGGAAAAATATCACTCCGTGTCCCCGATGAGTTTGGGACGGAAGTCACAAATGGCAGGTCCGTGGACTGGATCCCACCGGTACACTCGATTTGGCCCGCATATATGTTTTCTTAAAAAAACAATTTAAAATTAGTTGCCAAGTAAAGATACCCAGAAATGTTACATTTTAAAAAATCCAGATTTGGGGGTTTTCTTGGAAAAATCGGGGAGACTGCCCGCGCCCAGTCCTCATTCCTGTGGCACCCGATCGGAGAGCTAGCCGAGCGTCAGCAGATGCTCCCTGGTCTGCCATCGTCCATGCAGCTCCCTCCGCCTGTGCCCAGGCCACTCGAATCACGCGTGAGACCTGCTTGTTCTCATCTGAGTTTCTCAGCCCTTGTGTGGGACTTTTGGGAGCCTGTTAACAAAACCTGCTGGATGGAAGGACATAAAGAGCCCGTGTGAAAGGCAAGGGAAAGGGGGAACCTACGGGCAGAAAGCAAACTGATCCTTCACTTTCGTATTCTCGAACTGCTAATTTAGTTTTTCTGTTTGATGCATGTATTTGAATCGGCTCAGTCAACACTGGTCCTCGAGTGACCAGCAGAGAACGTTAACTGGAAACGCTGAGGCCATAAACGCGGCGTTTTGGTTAGATTTAAACTACACAGCTGAAATAAGCGATGAGGTCGAATAGCAAAACGTAGGTGGCGGAAAAAGGGACTCTTAGTGGCAACTTCTTGACTTGGAAAAATTGGGATACATCTCGCCTGAATTACTTAAAAATCAAAATGATAGAATATTTTTAAAAGAGGTAATTTTGCCCCATCTCCCCTCTCTCCCAGTCCCTCCCCCGACCCTTTTCCCCTGAGGTTTAGTTCAAAACGTAGGGATCCCTGGGGTTAGGGACGGGGCAGGTCCCATGTCATCCGTGCCAGCCAGATGTTAGCATCTGCATATCGATGCTTCTCCGTCGTATGTGTGTGTGCGCGCGCGCGTGCGTGCGTCCTCCATGGATGTGTGGGTGCCATGCGGGGGGCACGTGAGGCCGCAGGCTGATCACGGGCGTCTTCCTATGTTTTACTTGAATATCTTTTAAAGGGAGATGTTAACTCAGTGAATGGTTAGGTTATTTTAAATGTTTTATATTAAAACAAACATTACGGAGTAGGATGGCACGTTTGCATGAATTTTTAAGACAGAACAAAAGACCTCAAAACATTTTACTGTGGTGTCACTTGGGTTTTGTCTTGATGTCTTTTCCTGTTTTCCTCAGCAATTGGGGCGGATTTGGCAGTGTTTGAGACGAGCTGGAAGCTGTCCTAGGGCTGGGGCGGGAGAGGGCTGGTCCCTGGGCCGGGGTGGAGTGGAGTGGAGGCGAGTGTGGGTGGAGGAGGGTCGCCTGCAGGCTTGGGGGTCTCAGTTAGGGCCCGAGCCCACTGCCAAGTGTAGAAGGAGGCAGCTCTGACAGGGAGGCAGGGCGCTAGGCAGGTGCAGACGCGGGCCAGGTGGCAGCGATGCTGCCAGGAGCAGGCTTCAGGGGCCTTCAGCACCCCCACTTCCCCCAGTTGCCAAGTCACCCCAAATAAACGTGCCCTCTGAACATGACGTGCTGTGTTAGTGCAGCCTCAAGCCCCCCGCATCCCCAACGGGATATCCGCCCCCGGGCCCTTCCGCTAGAAGCTCTGGCTGGCAGCGTGTTCCCTGGGGAAGGAAGGTCGCCTCGACCCAGCTGATGGTTGACGGTCCCTTTAAACAAAGCATCTTGGTTCTTTTCAGGCAGCCTTCCCTGGGCCACCCTCTCCTCTTTCTTACAGAAACGCCGTTTCATAAATGGGAATCAAGTAATCGGGTTCCTTGTTTGTCACCGTTCTCCCCAAGCCCCATTATTTAGTGAAATTCTCCTTCCCATTTACCAGTTACCTGCGGTCACAGCTGGAATTCAGCTCTCCTAAGGTTTCTCTTTTCCTTAAGAGACAGACTCCTCGGATTGGAATTAACGCAGTATCTCTTTACAGGATGACATTTGTTGGCGCAGAGATGCACACGTTTTAGAAGCTATCATTCAAAGTCCTGAATATGGAAGGTCTTTTAGAGAGGATGTTCCAGATAAGGAAATGGAAACTTTTCATAAGTTTTCTGGTTTTGTTTTGTTTTTTCTTGAAATATTCACAGTCTAATATTTTACTTTTGACTTTTTTTATAGTTGGAAACTGGATCCTATTGTAGAAAAGGACACTTATGGCACTAATGTGATCTGTGAAGTCAGGTTGAAGATCAAGTCCGTATCTTGGCTCAAGTGCCAAAGGGTCATCTGGCAAGGACGTTCCTTAGAAGTTGCCGAAGCAATTCACCGCTGCATTTATTTTATAAGCAACCAATGGACGGCTGCAAAGGTCTAATTTTAAGTAGTTGCAGAATGTTTGAGATGCTCGTAAATTCTTCAGGATAGGACACCCCAAAACTCATGGCCTATCAAATGAAACCCTGCATCTGGCTGAGAGCAAGTTATAGCAGAATACAGAATATTAACAGCATCCCGCGATGTAGTGCTGTCTAAAGCCTAGGATCTATGATTTTGATTTGTGATATTGCTAGATTTAGTGCCTCCCTGACATTTTTGAAAGTTATTTCCCCTTTCCCCCAACTTAGTAGATATTGAAAAGTGGAGCTATGTTCTAGCATCTTAGTTACCGAAAGCAGAGTTGAGAAGTGCACAATGTGCATTGCACAGTACTTTTGATACCACTTTTCATTTTGTTTTCATTGAAATTTCATTTCAAATAAAGTTGAATTTTATGGTTTATTTAGAACCCATTTTTACTTTTAATTTCAACAAGACTTTGAAAAAATACAAGATTCTCCAAGGAGAACCACACAAGAAGAAAGAATGGAAGGAAACACAAACGTCAAGCCTAACTATTTATTAAGAATCTTCTGGAGACCTACCATAGTATTTCTCAGAGTGGCCTATGTGTCAGCAAATATTGGGCGTGGCTGCACATGACAGAATCGCAGCCACCGTGGCAGGGCTACATGGGGCTCCATTTTTCTGACGTGACCAGATGTAGGCAGAATAGGACTGAGTGATCATGGACCCGGGCTCCTGGCAGCCTCTTCTTTGGCTGGTGACTTTGATTCTCACGGTAGAAAACCATCATCTGTAACTCTAGATATCCTGTGTGCTTTCCAGCAGGGTGGGCAGCTTTCTATGAGGCTTTGTCTTTCACTTAGGGAGGGACCTCGCCCTCGGCCAGCACTGTCATTTGGCCACACCTATCGCCTTAAGAATTTTACTTGGCACCTCACCTTGCCAACCTTAATTCAATCTGGGTGCTTTGAGTAAAAAAGCGGGGGTCGGGGATAGATACTGGGTGCGGTGTCTGCTGTACCTGGCATCAGTCACCTGGGTTGTTATAACTTCTGGCCCCCTGACGAGTCAGTCGGTCTCTGGGGGTAGGTAGGCCCTGGGCTCTGCATTCTAATGCTCCTCATGCAATTTAATGCATATTGAAGCTTGAGATCCACAGGTAGGAGATAAAGTCTGCCCTACACTTAGGAGAGGTGCATTCCCGTATATTTGAGACAGCTAGAGGACAGGACTTCATTCCACGCATATCTAGTGGATGTTTTTGGTCTTAGGTAGCAGAAAACCCAACTCAGAAAGGCTTAAACACTGAGGAAATTGCAGTTGGCAGACTCGGTGAGGATGGTCGGATTTTTTCTTTTGCTCCATTCTGCTGTGACCTTTAGAGTCTCATGCTAGGGCTTGTCCCCGCCTCCCATCGGCAACCAGTGCTTCACGTTTTCTCGTTCATGTTCAAGACAAAAAAAGAAAAAAGAAAAAAAAAGGGGGGCTTCTGATTGCTTTCAAGAGTGAGAAAGAACTTCTAGAAACTCCAGCGATCTTGTCTCTTGTCCCCAAGAACTGAATCGCATGCCCATTTCTGGACCACCTGGACAGGGTGGTCACGACCTTTCAACCAGTGCATTGCCCCAAAGGGGCGGGGTCAAATGGAGTAAATCGCTTATGCCAGTTGGCATCCTGACTTGGCCATCTAGACAGTCATTATGGCTCCTTACCCTTCTCCGAGCCTCTCCTCAATGCAGATTCCTGCCCTTAGGGTGGAGGTCGGAGGTGAACTCAGATTTGTGGCAAGACCGCACAGGAGCAAGTTTATCACGTTGCTGATCTTAGACATTATCTATTCTAGCCAAAGCATTCGATGGTTCCTTGTCACATGGACTGCCTCCCAGATTCCCGATGCTTCTCTCATAGCCACCATGGCCATATATTAATGCACGTTCAGTTAACAAATCTTTGGATGCATAATCTGATTTATTCCGTTCCCTATGAAAATTGAGAGCGACAATTCTAAATACGGGGACTCTAGTCTCCATGCCCACGTGTGTTAAAAATGTACTCAGATCACTTCTACCCAGAAAGGCATATTCACTGTGTAGTATATTTGGAAGAGAATACTTTCACTGTCTGGTGGTTTCATGGTGGAGCCAGAATTCAATTTGAGGGCACATTGACCCCCTTTTCTTTTGAGCTTTTAAAGCATTTTTATATTGACATTATCCATGTGGGTAGAGTTGATATAGCCAAACAAAACATCAAGATTTGGGTGCCTGAGTGAGTAATAAGAGGGGTAATAGTTTCAGTGGGGGGGAAAATTGATGAATTTGATTTTGCGTTTGTAAAGTCAATGGCAAATGTTCCATTGGTCAGTTGACTTGAGTCTGAATAATCGATGCTGGGGATTCAGACTGAACTGTCACCATGGCAGGTTGAAGCCAGGCTCTCCAAGAGAGACAGAGACTGGAGGCAGCCAACAGCGAAAGAGCAGCAAGACACCTAACAGGGAGGTGACAGGAGAAGCTGGAGCAAGGATTAGGAGAGAGATGCTTTAAGAGGACTGGACAGTATTAATTCTTTAAGGGCGAAACATCTTGCGACTTCGAGGAGAGCGGAGGATGCCAGCCCTCGAGACCACCATCTCCTGGGATATTGTGAAACTTGGCATTTTCACCTTCATTCTCAACCTTCTCTGCGTCACCTAAAATTTACACGTGGAGAAATCGAGGAAACCACAGGCTTAGTGACTTCTCCGACACGTGGCAGAAAGGATCGTACTTCACATTACTCTCTTCGATAAAATCGTAGAGGGTGACATGCAAGCGACGGTACCAGGTCTGGGCACTTCCTCCTCCACCCAGAGCACACGAGCACAGTTCAGTAAGTCTGAGACCAAGAGTTCGGAGTAATGAGCACCCTTTCCAGACAGGCACAGATGCACCATTATCCTCGAGATTCATATTCTTAAACCCAGCAATCGCATTAAGGCGTAAGGTAAGGAGAGCTTGAGCCACAAACTCCAGGGACCCCAGGGACCCAGCACGTAACGTGGAGGAGCGAAGGGGGCCCGGAGATGGGAAATCGCGAGTCCCTCGGCTGTGCCTCCGTTTTCGTTCTATGCCAATTTCATGTATTCTTTGGCGAGAAGTCTCAGTGCCACTCCTAGCCGGGGAAGCGGTGCCCTCAGGACATGTGTCTGTAAACCAGTACTTCAAAACGTAACGACAGGATCGTCGGATCCAGTTTTAACCAAGGATTTCCTAGATCCCCCCCAAAAGCAAAATTCAGAAAATACCCCTTCGTCCAGCAAGAATCGTCCTGTAAGAAAACATCTTCTATCACCCTCTCCTCCCTTCCCGACGCCTGTCACCATGGAGCAGACTGACACCCTCCCGGAAACCCCGTGTGGAAGGCACGTGGCACTGTCCTGCTCACACCGCTCGCACACCTTCCGACAGGTAAGTGGAGACTTTCTGTGGCTTCTCTCTTTGGATAAGAAATTTATTGAAAAGTTTTCTTTTAGCAAAATAGTTAAAGACCCCTCCCCCTGCTCTTCCCACTTCCGTTATCTACTGGAAAAGTACAGAATTGAAAAGTGTTTTCCCTTAGCTGTGATCAAAACACTGAATACTGAAGAATATCTGGGTAACTGACTTTCCGGGTTATATAATTAAGAGATCTACAGAGGAAGCTCAAGTTCTGCTGCTCCCAAAAATGCATAACAAAAGAGAGGATTTGACTAGAATAGCTAAAAAAAAAAAAACCCAAAAAACTTATGGCCAGTCCATGATGGAGCGAAGCAGGCTTTTCCAACCATCACCCGCCTCCACCGCCGTGGATCACAAACCCTGCAGAGATCCAGCAAGATGTGAGTCTCAAATACAGAACATGTGTCAGAGAGGGCCGGCCAGAGCGCTGAGATTCAGGAACAGGACAGAATGCTGGTGAAGGCACAGAGCAGACTCCCGCGGAGTTCCTAGTGCTATTTTCATTTAATAAGCCAGCGGTGCAGCAACCTAACGGCCGTGGCTGCGGTCACCCTGGGATGTTTCTACGGAATTGCTGTAGGGAACACGAGAGGCAGCGGGCACCGTCCGGCCCCCTGTGCTGAGTGGGCAGCATCGGCACCGACTCTGGGGGCGTGGGAGGGAGCCTAGGGCTGCGGCGTGTAGCGCAGGTACTTCTTGCCGGATGGGAGCTCTTTGGTGAACACTCCTTTAGGGAAAATTCTCTTGGCTTCCTCCTCAGGGATGGTTGGGAGCACCATCACGCTGTCTCCGTCCTGCGGAAAGACGTTGAGAGGGGTGAAGTTCAATCTCACAGTCAAGTCTAAGGCCGGGAATCCACTGTAGAAAAGCAGCTATAGGTGCTAAGCAGAACCACCAAGTACCCTTCACTCTCCCCTCGGAGGAGTTCTGTTTCCCAGGCTGATCTGTGTCCGGCGCTTTGGTCGGGGACTGTTTCCCCACCGCCACCAGAAACGGGCCCGTTTACGCCCAGTCAAGCTGGGCCGCTGCCCGCTCCTCACCCCACCCCCTGCGGCTTCCCTCCCAGACACGCTGGATGCTCTCTGTCCCTCAAACACGCTGCTTTCAGGGAAAGCACCTTGCACGAGCTGTTTTTTCTGCCCGCCGGGCTCCTCCCTTTCTTCATGTCCTTCATGGCCCCCCATGACGGCCATGAAAACCAACCCTACCTCCTCTCGTGCCGGTTCTCTGTCACACTTACTGCCACCTAACGGACTACACGCTGGTTTACTGTTCGCCTCTCCCCACTGGAAGGTGTGCTCTGAGAGGGCAGGGACTTTATGGTTCGGGCTGTATCCCGGGGGCCACCGCCCGGGCTCCATCATGGCAGGTTCGATGAATGGACACAGAATTTTAATTAACTACTCGCCATCGGAAAATACAAAGCCAGGAATTCAGGTTACCATATTTTAAAAGTAAAGCATCATAAAGACACTCCCGTGATTATTAGCCATGTCCTATATATTGCAGAAATCCTAGAGATTAAACGTTGACGAACGAGTTTCAGAGACTTCTACGTGGCTTTGTTTAACAGACTGAAGCTTAAGAGAAACGCAACGCTTCCTGACCCTGACGCGGTAGTTTACTGTCAGAGCCACAACTTAAGTGGCCGAACTAAGTCTTGTTGTAAATATTTTGCCAGCAGGGAAGGGTTAAAGTTCTTCAAAAAATCCTTTTATTAGGAAAAGGAATCATTCTGACCAATTAAATCTGTCCAAATATCTAAGTTAGAAAGCACTACGGGGAATGTGTGTTTTATATAAAAGCGATAAAGACCTTGAAAATAAATGGCCTCTCAACAAATCTTAAACTCAGCCATGAGGAAAAAAAAAAACCCTCCCCGTGTATTTGCACGTCAGAAACAGAGCCCCTGGTGACAGCCTGAAGGTGGCCATTTAGACAGGAGCCCCACAGGCCTTCCGGGCACGGGGCATCTGCCCCTTTAACCTCTTTACCTTCCAGTCGACGGGGGTGGCCACCCTCTTCTCCGCGGTCAGCTGGAGCGAGATGACGACTCTGAGGATCTCGTCGAAGTTCCTGCCCGTGGTGGCCGGGTACAGGATCGACAGCTTCAGTTTCTTATCAGGACCAAAAACGAACACCTGCAAAACACGCAGACACGTAAAGAGGAAGAGTTCGTTCAGTGCCTTTGATATTAAAGCCTCTTAGAAAGCTCTTCAGTCATTAAAAATGTTCCAGGGTGTAAAGACAAAACAAAAAATTCCCAGCCATCTAGAATGATACACCAAACTTAATCCAGGTGGCTGGAGTCTAAGATACTTTTCTTCTCCATGTCATTTTTCTTAAAAAATTTTTTTCAGTTACAGTTGACATACAATATTATATCGTGCCATTTTTCTTTAAAAAATTTTTTTCAGTTACAGTTAACATACAATATTATATCAGTTTCCGGCACACAGCACAGTGTCCGTGTTATTTTTCTGACCTTAGAAGGGAATGATATTTGGTTCTGATTGTCTCAGTAAGAAAAATTGCTATGCAAACTCAATCCAGGAAAGGCCTCAGGAAGGGACTGTGTGAAGTAGGGATGATTATCATAAAAATCATACTAATGGGAGTTGATATTGGTCCTCAAATAGCTGTACTTTTTCTGCCGGTGCGGGGCTCTGCTCTCAGGAGGTTAGGAAGGACAGAACGAGAATTCAAAACCAGGGCCGCCTCGCGGAGGCCCTGACCCACGGCTGTAGGGACAGCAGTAGAAGACTGCTCAATTCTAGGTGACTTCTTTGGACAACTGCGCATTTTACGTATATTTCCAAAAAGCTAGAAATTAAACGATTTAAAGATTGAGGTGAAACTTTTGCATGAGTGTTACTGGAAATCAATGAGATCAGCATCCAAACAATTATCCCCTCATTGGACAGAATCTCCTCATTTCCTCAAGGTGGTTCAAGCCTTTACTTGTCACGACTACAGAACGGACGGTCACAGCTCACCACGCGCGCCGTCACGGGCATGCCCTTCTCGTCTTTCTCCGCCGGGTCCAGCATGCCCAACAGGATGGCGAGGTCCCGATGCTTGTCATCAATGATGGGAAAAGGTAGCTTTTCTGTGGGCTCCTCGCCATTGTAAGCGTTGATATCCTGAAATGCAGGTAAAAAAGAGGGAAGAGAAATTTAAACCACGCACATCCTCTGAATCACGTCAGTTAACAGCCATCGTGTTGCAAGACAGGGAGAAGCACGAGATGGGAATCATTTCCCTCGGCCAGTTTAATGAGTGAGTGAGTGAATGAATGAACACTCCTCGTCAAGCTCATTCGCACGGGAAGAACAGCAGGGTGCGGTACAGCCGCACACCCTCTCCATGCCCAAGTCTCTTGAAACACAGCTGGCCTTTCCTGCTTTGAGAAAGCGGCGGCAAACGCTTTAAAACCTGAATAATGTCACGACAGATCCCAATCCGAGGTACCTCTCGGTACCCAAATCCTGGAAAAACCATCAGAAATAACGAGTTCGTTAAGTCCATCACACCTAGAAACAATGTCACTTGCAAAGATAGTTCTATAGATCCAATCTCGGCCCCCAAAGCACCGAGTCAGACATCAAGCTACTGTAAGACGGACGATAAGAAACGAAAAAACAAAAACAAAAACAAAAAACTCACAAAACTTAAAGCAAACACGAGAATGGAGATCCTAGTATGTACTTCACGGACAAGTCAAAGGTAAATCTGGGGAGAGGGAATAAATGAGCATGTAGGCGAGTCTCAGCATAAAATGCTGACTGGAGAATGAGGAACTTATCTGGGAAGAGCTGTAGCAAGTCACGGAACAGGGATTTAAAGTTGGAATAAGATCTGTTTATTATGTGGAGCCTTGAAAGCAAAACAGGATCTGATGGCATAGCAGATACAGGGCCTTTGTGGCTTCTCAATAGAGACCCCGCCGTGGGATAAAAGTGGAATGCGTGGACTTTGAAATGGATAACAACAGATTTGAATGTGTTCCTTAATTTTATTAACTTCCCTTCCGCTGTCACTGGCTGCCTATCGAGTCAACTAAAATCATCACCAGTATGGTTTCATGCTAGAGGCACCTTGACGCTTCCTTATAACCAGCTGTATGCCAACGTTTGGGCACTGTTCTGGCAGTTAGGACTTGGTTTCCTATTTAAGGCAATCACAAGTTTGAAAATTCTAAAGCAGCTCATGAGCTAAAATGAACCTGGGTGTGCTCCTATACCTTAAAAGGCATTATGTGATGGGCTATAAACTCTTCCTTCGGCTGTTTTAATTATCGCTAAGCAGTAATTCTCAACCCTGCCACACCTACGTAGTAGGTGTTACATTACACCCACGAACACCAAAGAACCATATGCTTTGGCTTTATTCTATCCTCCATCAGGCTAATTCCTATTCTCTATCATCTTATATCAAAAAGAGCACTGGTTTGAGGTTCAAATCACAATGCCATCATTCTTTAGCAGGGCAGTCTTCAGCAAGTCCCTCCGACTCTTCCCTTTTGTCCTCTACACCAAAGGTCCCCAACCCCCCAGCTGCGGACTGGTACTGGTCCATGGCCTGTTAGGAACTGGGACGCACAGCTGGAGTGAGCGGCGGGTGAGCAAACAAAGCTTCATCTGTATTTGCAGCCGCTCCCCAGCGCCAGCATCACTGCCTCAGCTCCGCCTCAGATCACTAGGCATTAGAGTCTCATGGGAGCACCGGTCCTTGGTGCCAAAGAGGTGGGGGACGGCGGCTCTACAGGATTCTTCTAATCTCAGACATTTAGGATTAACTGGTCTGAAACGGCCAACGGATACAGCCCTGGGTGGCCAGCTCACAAGTCAGAACTACGCCTTTTAATCAATTGCATGTGAAATGCTTGAGGCTGTGCCTAGTGCACAGTAAGCATCTCTCAAAAGTTACTTATCATTAGATAGTAGCACACTGTAGCAAAGTCATTAAAATGTTCTCAAGTTAAGTTTAGACCACCACATTTACTGTCCAAGTAACTCCTTTTGTTGGAAGTAGCCAATTCCCTCAGTTCATTCATTCGACAAATCTGGCCCACCCGCCTAGGAGTACTGAGTACCTAGCACTGTTCCAGCAATGCACACAACAAGAGTCTGCCCTGCCCAGCCTCCACTCTGGTGGGGAGAAACAAATGGCATTAGCCATGTGCAGAGTATTTTAGATGGGGACAAGTGCTGAGGAGACAAGTTAATTGGAGGAGGCTAGGGACTATATGGAGGGGAGTTAATTTTAGATAAGGATGCCAAGGACAGCCTTAGACGTGTCATTTGAGTCGAGACCTGAAAGAGGTGAGGGCAGATCACAGAGAAACCTGGGGAAGGAAATGTTCCAAACAGGATTCTGGATATATTCTGAAGGCAGCGCAGATAAGTTTGCTGATGAATCAGACGTGTGATGTGAAAAAACCAGAGGCAATAAGGATGATTCGTACGTTTTTGGCCTGAGCACTATAAAAATGCAGTTGCCATTAGCTCAGAGGAGTGAGACCCTGGGGTTAAGAACAGAAGCCCAGTTTTAGACATACCGGGTTTGAGATGACGGGACATCCCAGGGGAGACTCCGAGGGGGCAGTGGAAGCCAGGAGAGTGTGCTCTAGAGATGGGCTTTGGGTGTGAGCAGGCGAGCCCGCCAAGGAGAAGAGCAAAGATAAAGGGAAAGGGCCCACGAAATGAGCCTCGGGCAACCGCAGCATGAATTAGGAGTGGGGAGCTGACAAAGCTCAGTCTGGGCCTGGGCAGGGACGGCCAAGGTGTGGCACCCTGGAAGCCAAGAGAGGAAAATACTTAGAGCAGACAGTGATCGGCTGGGCTGAAGCTGCTGGGAGGCCAGGGAGGGTCAGGGCTGCTAAGCGACCCCTGGGTCGAGCAAGGTGAATGAAGGTCATCGTGCAATCCAAGTCAGATTTTCAAATGATCAGTGAAGTCTGATCTTGAAGTTTACTTGTACCGTCGCCTTAGAAAAAGCCCAAGCTACTCCGTAATTTAAGACCTGATTCATCACCTCAAAGCGCGTGCCCGTGGATGCTATACCTTGCTCCAGGCGAGATGGTCTTCTACACTGTCTATGGAAAGGGCGATCAGCTTCACGTTCCTCTTGGCAAATTCCGGTGCCAGCTTGGCAGCTCTGCCAAGCTCCGTGGTGCACACTGGGGTGAAGTCCCGAGGGTGGGAGAAGAGAATGCCCCATCTGAAACGAAGGGAGAGAGGTCGAGGCTGAATGACAAGGTTATCGCCAACATCAGGTGGAACAAGCAGTCACAAATCCTAGATCAAAAGTGACTTTTTAAAGTGAATGCTTATGAAGGCAATGCCTTTTAAACTTTTTTTGTTGAGAAATGCTTTTTGATCTTTTGATCTCCAGAAAAGCCAATGTTTAGAGCCCAAGTCAACTGAGGATATGAAATTCAAGATGACAAATATTTTAAGACTGTAATTTAAGGGTGTGGACTCTTTTAATAACTACAGAGCCAGACCGACCCCTTTCTAGCTAATAAAATCTGTGCTACTCAAACTCATCGAAATAACTTTTTTTCCTTCTTACCCTTTTCTACATTTTTTTCTAAGCACGCAGGCCCTGACCTTCAGCTCCAATAATGGGTGTCCTCATAGGCTCTGAACTCAAACAAATGCCTGACTGCAATAATAAAGAGATTATGTAACCTGAAGTAAATAGGCGCCTATTCTCTATTTATATGTAAAATTAAAGCTGACAGTGGCTTCTCTGAAGTGAATGGATATAAAATCCTTTATAAAACAGCTTCACTGACCTAACCTGCCAAACAGGACACCCAATATTTGTACCCCGACCAAACGACAGGACTTCAGAAGTTCTACCATCTCTTCCCTCGCAGTTTCTTTGCCTTCTTGCTTCAGATCAAGTAGGGAAAAAACTGACAGCCTACATCATTGTGGCCTATGGTTGAACTTGCTTAGCTTTAAATTTTAAGCACGTTTCGAGCTGAGTCACTAAGAACCATTGGAGTACCATTTTCTTCTCCTTGGCGACAGAAACTAACCTCTCTACTGAAAAGGGAGTTTTCCACACTCCCCTGGGCTGAGGACACCAGTAAAGCAAGACCCTAGTCTCGGAGATAACTGAGTCCAGCCTGGAGCCAAACTCGCCTCTCCCGAGTTTCCTAAGTGTCCTGAAGCACAAAGAACAAAGCCAGAGACAAGGGTTCCCCCTAACCACTTACGCCTGTCATTCGACCCCCAAAGCTGCAGGAAAGGAAAAGACCTAACAAAAAGCATGAAGCTTCCTTTGGTAAGATGTAGTATTTTTTAGATTGTAGAAGGCGTGAGGTATGTTTAAGTTTTAGTCAAGGGCAATAAGGGGGACATATTTCTTTTGAAATAATCCAGCGGAGTAAAACCTAGGCCTTAGATTCTATGGGAAGGATCCTTTTAAGGGCCAGTTGAGACTTTTGAGAAGAAATGAAACAGGATATTTCTTCTTGTTAAAGGGTGATGCATTAGGAAAGTTAGGAATTCTCTTTTCATCTTGAGCCAGAGAGCGTTTTGCTGAATCATGCTAAGGAACCTGATTTAAGCCACTGCATACCGCGCCCTCCCCGCCCCCCCGCCCCCCGTGGG